TATTTTTTATCAGTCATATTTAATTATTTTCACAACACCTATGTTTATAAGTGGGAGGAGTGTGATTGATACTAGCATTCCTCATTCTTGTCCAAGACGAAACACAACCTCTGAATCTTCTCTGATCAGTCCAACCTGTGCTGAAAGGAAAGTTTGCTCCCTTTGTTTTGATTTGGAATTGAAGCAGGGAAATGTTCATTTTTAAGGTTACAATTTTGAATGCTTTCCTGTGTTAAATGCTGTTGTCCTCAGGAATATATTTGAAAAGATTTTGAAAGCTGAATGAAGAAATTATATTGAAACTATAAGCTGACCCAGTTTTTTTAAACATTTGTGCCAATACCTTTTAAATAACCTCACAACAGAGGAATGCTTATGTAAAATTTTATCTATTAAACATAAAGAATTAATTATATAAGGAGTTGTATGTCATTTTTTGCATAACCTTAAACAGACTACATTTAAAGGCTGCTGTTTTTACAGTAGGAAAATGCTTGACACTTGGAACAAGTTGCTAAAAACTTTAAAACAATAAATCTCACTGTTCACTTTAAAATTCAGCAGTTCATGCTTCTAATAATCACCATTTCAGCTTTCAGAAAAGATGAAGGAATTCAAGAGAATTCCAAAGAGTGCAAGAGCCGCAGGTAAACAAACATGAAAAAGTCTAAGGGTGGTGGGCTAACAAGTGTTGGTGACATTTCAAGAAACCAAAGTGCTCACTTCATTTCATCTCCCTCTTAATGTTCATTCTCTCAACAGTGGTGCAGATTAAACCTCATGTGAAGCCTTTTATATGCTTGTCACATATGTTAAGGCTTTGTCAAGAGGAAGGTGGAGAACAGGCTGCATATCTACCACCCATCGCCTCCACTGTCCTGGTGCACTTGCGAACACGTCGTGTTATTTTAAGAAGAGGCCATGAATCTCAACTTCATGATAAGGAAGAAAACGGGGTTTCAGACAGAGGGAGGCTGACTGGGCGAGCTGTCAGAAGAGTTATTTCATGTCCTACTAAACAAGAACTGGGCGAGCTGTCAGAGTTATTTCATGTCCTACTAAACAAGAAGCTCATAAGAGCTCTATTTATAGCAACCTGACTCTGACCTTGAATCATGTGTGATAGTGTGTGCGCTTGTGACCCACATAAGAACTCTGTGAAGTGTTTGAGACACTGGTGGAGTTTCTAGCTCATGTACAATTCATACACAGTACTGTTTACACAAATATTCCAAGTACACAAAGGGATTTAAGTGCGAAAGTAAATTAGTCTTACCTGATGCCTGTTTAAATGGTCTGTTGTGACCTCAGACCTTTAGTATGCATAGCACAGATGGCTACTGCATATATCCAAGCATCAAGACATCAAATGTGCTAAAAGCAGTCGGCTCTCCTTTGTCTAATGACGTCAAATATCAGTCATGCAGAAAGACAGAGTACAATAGTGTACATGGAGGTTTTCTTTTTAGAATTCAACAAACCAGAACGTCCTCATTTGAGATCAGAATGTTGACATTAATCTGTTGGTTTTTTTGTTTTGTTTTTTCACCAGAGTTCTTGTGGTGCCTTAAATCTTCAAGCTGTTGGACTCTAATTTAACACTTTTCACTCTTGTGACACTGATATGACAGCACATCTGTAATCTGCATGAGCATGTGATCTTATATCCTCAAATGTCCTAAATAAATATATGAATAAATAAATAAATAAAATAAAAACTGTGAATATGTTTTTGAGGGGGAAAAGGTCCTTAAGGAACCTTGCACGGACATCCGCAGCTAAACAACACAGCGGGTAGATCTCTAAAAGCGAACCAGAAACTCCAGTTCCCAGCATAATTACCCTCCTACTGTTTGCCAGGTGAAGGAAAATACCCAGCTTCCTCATACAGCATCACTTATTGCCAGTGACGGCGAGGGGAGCAGAATCTCTGAACAGGTGCTCTGCAGGTATGCATGCTGAGTTTATATATTTATATATATATATATATATATATGTACATTTTGTAATGCATGTGCTGGAATTATTTGTGATACAAAATAGTCAACATATGTTTGGTTTTATATTTGTAAAGTGACTTTGTGTAGATGCAAAAAATGATGAGACAGAAAGAGAAGAACAAATATTTGAGTTTTAAAATTTAATACTCTGTGTCTTTCTTTTTAATTAGTGCACCAATGTTTTAACATCTTGAATGTTACCTGTTTGTGATATGAGTCTATTTTTATCCCTTCACTGTTTACAAAAGAAAAAAGCTGTGTTTATCCATCGGATAATCTTATGGTGTTTTAAAGAGGCAGACACTAATATAGTCCTGTTTTTCTTTTTTGTTGGTTTAGGTGCGGTGTCACAATGCATAAGGGCCAGAGGAGCGCAGGTATCACATCTGAAAATTTTGATTTATTTTAGTGCTCGTGGTTATATATTGTAGTATTAGTTCAACCTGATTTTATAATGCACCAAAGTAATGCATGTTAACACATTTGTTAATTGTTTAGAGAATTTCAGTCACTTGGTCTTTTCTTTACGCCTATTGATCCGCTTGCAGAGATTTTGATGAGAAGATCAATATGAGCTAACTTGGCATAAATACTAGAAAAGACAACTAGTCTAGCTATGACCAAAACTGACCAAAGTGCCATGTTAATGAATATAAGAGGTGGCTCATGTATTACCCCCGTTTCCAGGCTTTGTGTCAAGTTAAGTTAAGCTAACCGACTGTTGGCTGCAGCATTTAACACTCACCATGGGAGTGGCATCCATCTTTTCCTCTAACTCTTGGAAAGAAAGTAAAAGTATTTTACAAAATGTCAAACTATTTCTTTAATTTTGCATCATATTTCTGTTTCACATATCTCATCACCTGGCTCAAATGAGTGCTAACAAGGTTTAGCAGCCAAAGAGTTGCTTTGTTCTTCTTCCACTCCTTTATTTGCCCTTGTCTATTGCTTTATTTCCTGTTATCACCTCCATTCTCACTGCATTTCAAGTGCCCAGTCTAAATTCTCTCAGTGACACCAAGTTCACTATATCATTTCATCAGCCATCTATTAATTGTGTTTAACAGTCAGCTCTTTATTTAAGTTTTGAAAACAGACCTCTATTTCTGTTTTACCAGGTTATTTCAAAACCACTCATGAAGAAAAAGAATACAGCCACTTCAGTGAATTCAGAGCCTGAAAAGGTAGTCCATTACAAGTAAATCTAAGAATGTGGCTAATGTTTCTAAATGCATGCATCCTGTCAATCTGAGACTCATGCATAACATAACGTAACAACACAACACAACAACAACATTTTGTACACGTAGCTGCTTAAATCCATGTATGTCGTTTTTTCTTTTTCAGCCATTGATTAAAATGCGGTCCATGTCTGAACCCGTTTCATGTGCTTTGACCAACAACATTGAAAAATCAAAGGTGCAATATCTTGTTTTGATTATTTGTAATTAGTAAGCAATATTAGTTGAGGTATTTGGATGTGATTTCCTTTTGGTGTCATATTGCTTTGTGACTGATTGGCAGGGTGAAGATTATAACAGAAAACGTTCATCAGCGCCTGTGAATCCAATCTATGATTATCCGAGATCCTACTTAAGACAAATAGAAGTAAGACTGAAACTATTAATTTTTCAGACTGATCAGACTGCCAGTTATTTTCTTGATTGATTAGTTTATCTAAAAAAGTCAGAAAATACAGAAAAATGCCCACTGTAACTAATATGTATTACAACTAAAACTTGTAATTTTCCCTTTTTTCTTTTTCAAATGATGTGAATTAGGAAAATGGGTCACTCCATGCCAACTGGAATGAATCAGAGTGAGTATTAATTTGTGTTTCCCTTTGTCAGACAAAAACACTGTGTCACCTTTGTTTTAAGTGACTCACGCTGACATTGTGGTTTCCAGTGCTACAGTATTTAATATCTTTTGTTTGTTTGTTGATTTGAATATCTTTCTCTTGTAGATATGCTACAATGCAGGGAGGTAAAAAAAATGGACTGATGGCTCAAGCAGCGTAAGTTTGATTTACAGAGTGCGAGATCACTGACAAATCATGTTTCCTGATAAAGGTAAATAATAATGAAAGCAGTTAATTGTGCTAAATGTTTCCAGGAACCATGATGTTCAAAAGAACACCACCCTCGGCAGCCGAATGAGGTCTGATGATCAGATGATATATGAGGAAATGTCTCCGTTTCATGAGGAGAATGACACCGAGGACAGGTAAATAGATTAACATCACTGAGTTGTAGTCATGAGTTATTAATAGGTGAACTTGGCTTTACAGGTCAGGTACAACAAATTAAGATTTTCTACATATTAGCTGTTATTTATTATTGTCAGATCCCTAATAAGCTACCACTTAATAATTTTTATTATTATCATGCATACTACTACTACTAATGATAATAATAATAAAAGCTGCTAATACTACTACTATGTGCTGCATTTGATTGCACTGCAACTCATATTTGCTATGATGCTAACTAAAGCCATGTACAGTATGTTTTCACACTTAGACAAAGTACTGCTCTAAGTATTTAAGTGAAATTAAGTGACTTCTGCTATTACATTAGACACTCTGGACAGAAGTGGTAATTGTGAGATAATGTTAATAGCTGCGTCTAGTATGCAGCATGACAAACCTTCTGTTTCTTGATTTGATTTGATTTATTCTTTAAAGCATGTAAAGACAGTTGATATGTCAACACACATAATTTTACACATATCCAACAAATGCTAATCCAATATCAATTTGCTTATACCTAGTACATGCTTGAATGGAGTAGGAAGAAGTCAGACTTATCCAGTCCTACCCCATAACATCATCTTACCATCATTGGTTTGCAAGCAATAAATGATTCACTTCTACACACACACACATATTATACTAAAAAAAGAATATAACAGTGTTAACATTCTTACATCACACAAGTAATATACTAAAGAATGGTTACAAAATGTATACCACACCCACAATTGTCCATGTAATTAATCATTGAGCCTGTTCTTGCATATATCTTGATTGACACATACCTTTATATTTATGTTTAAACTCGTCAATTCTATTACTATTTTTTATGTCCACACTTAAATTATTCCATAGTTTTACCCCACTTATGGAAATACAAAATCTTTTTTTGGTTGTACGTATAGCATGAATTTTTAAATTTAACTGACCCCTTAAATTGTATCCCCCTTCCCTTTCATTAAATAGTTTTTGAATTCCACCAGGTAATAAATTGCTCCTGGCTTTATACATAAACAC